CGCAGTGTCCATGATGAAGGTCGACCTGCAGAAAAGTTAGTTCGCGCCAATGCCTGTCGATTCTGCACTTCACGTTCAGCTTTACAAGTAAGATGGAATAAACGAGTGATATTAGTATACTCCTTATACTCTAGAATGACCTGAATCTCTCTATTTAATCCATCCATAAAACGTGCAAGCATAGCTTCATTCTCCTCAACAATACCACATCTAATCATGCTAGTTTGTAATTCCTGATAATATTCTTCTACAGAATTTTTTCCTTAAACGCTGCAATTTTTGAATTAATTCACGTTGATAATATGGTGGAACCCAACGAGTACGCATAGCAGTTTTCAAAGCAGTCCAAGTAGCTGGAATATTATATAATCTACAATGTTCAAACCATCAAACACATGCAAAGCTAGTGAAAGCACAAACAGCAGCAGGAACACGTCTCTCCTCAGGATATTGTAAACATGTAAATCGTTGTTCAGTTTCTAACTCCCAAGTAAGATATATATCAGGAACATATCTACCCTCAAATGGTGGAATATTCAACTTCAGTTTAGGAAGATGGTCATGATCTCGTACCTGAGGGAGAGCCCTACCATTGTGATTATTTGCATGTGGACGACCTGGTGGTTGTGGTGCTGGTGGTTGCACGTAGTTCTGAATTTTGATCAACCTCATCCTCGTAATCTCCCGCATAATCATCCTCCGCATCAGCAGGAGCCACAGAAGTATCAACAGCAGCACCAACAGTTTGGCCAGGCTGAAGAAGGACACGGCTCGCTCGGCGAAGGGCTGTTTCGCGACGTGGAGGTAGTAGTTGTTGTTATTGCAGAGGTGCGGCAGGTGCATCCAGTGGTGGAAGACGTGCAAGCAGTTCATTAAATCTGTTATCGAGCTTTGTTTCGAACGTCTTCTCAAGGCCAGTGATCTTCTCAATGGCCTCTTCAAAATTGTTCAGCACATCTTGCACCTGTTCAGTCATCATTTGCTGAAACTTATCATGAAGCTCCTTGTTCATTAAGTTCTCCCAGTCAATCTCGTCGGCTTGTGATCCTGGCATGGTTAGCAGCAATAGAAACATACAAGAATATGATCCTACAGACTACTAACAAGTGGTGGTGGTGGGTGTCACAAATCCGTCAAGCAAAACTCAAATTCTTACTAGTTCTTACCCAGCAGCAGGCGGTGATCGGCAACCGTTGTAATCAAAACTCTCAAAGCTTGAATAGAGCGATTACTAGGGAGAGTCAAACGCACGACGTAGATGTATGTGGAGCTGGGAAGGCTTATAATATGGTAGTAAAAGGTTCGGCAATAATCAATTCAGATATGCAAAGTTGAATAAACGCTCAACGACGGTACTGTGTTGGTCCTATGCTAGACCGTGCTAGAGACGCGAGCCGAGACGCGAGCTGAGAACACTAACAAAATCATGACGTTGCACGTAAATAAGGGAAAAGCACACTCTGGAAATTTTTCCCTCTGTTTTTTTTTGCGCTCCTATTTTTTTGCGAAAAATCACTATAATGGCGAGTGTCTCAAAACTCTTCCCAGGTCAAACTAACAGGATAGGCATGCAATTTTTTTGACCAATTTTTTTTTCGACTGCCCGGACCCAAAAACTGGAAACTGGTCAAAAAAAAGCTTTCTATAACGGCGACTGTCTCAATACGCTTGGAAGCACCTAAAAATAGGATAGCCAGAATTTTTTTGTCAAGTGCGTTTTTGGAAAATTTTGGGCCTAAACGGAGGGTGGTTTCCGGACTCTTTTTTTTTTGAAACCTACTCAGGCAAGGAAACACGAATCAGAAATTGGACGGATCTCGAAAACAAACCTAATATGAAAGTAACTCGGATTGATGGTGGATATATGGTGGTAGGATATGACAGCGGTGGTGGTATATGGTAGCGGTGGTGGTATATGGATACGGATCGGTGGTGGTATATGGATACGGATTGGTGGTGGTATATGGATATGGATTCAGAGCGGTGGCGGATCAGCGGTGGTGGTAGATGGCAGGAGTGATGACGATGGTGCGGCGGCGGCGTGACAACTTGTGAACAGAACTCGAAATTCTAAGGGAAACTAGACGCTAAGACCAGCAACTTGACACCACGATGCAACCGCAAATTCAACAAAGCAAATACAGAAGAGATTATGCAAAGGCCCAGATTGGTTCGGATAGGATGAACTAACCCTAATTTTTTTTGGCTTTTTCGTGGACTATAGGTATGAAGAAAAGACTCAATCTAAACTACGAAAAACTGTAAAATCTCACCGAGCAACCTGAAAATCTGATACCACTTGATAGAGGCAAAGGTGTTCCATCTTTCGATGAGATGGTGGCTATCGTTTCGGAGGAAGTCGACTTTGACGATCCGACTACGAACATGCGAGGACGTCGCGCCTTAGCAATCGCTAAACCAACTCCGAAAGGTTATTGACCACGTCGGAGCACGATCAACCTGACCACGAAGGTCTGTTTCTTGCAGGCAAACGAAGAACAAGCAAGAAACTAAGATTGCAATCTGGATATTGCGAATATAAGAGGAAAGCTTTATTGATCAAGATGGGGTTCTGTGACGCCTTTGTCTGGTCGTTGAACACAAACAAAGTACGCAAAGTTGCAGCTATGGCGAACTTTAATCTAAACAAAACCCAAAGTCTAAACGATGCCCTAAGGGCTGTATATATGGAGGAAGAGGGGGGGGATTTCGTGGCCCTTGGTAGAGGGGTCCGAAATCAACCCTATCTCTTGTTTCCCCACACATACGGACTCTAAAAATAGCTTATACTTATGTATTTCGAAATTACATGGGCCTGGCCCAATAATAAGGTGACGCAACACCTAGGATAGCCTCGGGACGAAATTTATGAAGTGGCATCTTGTATATTTCGTCCAAGGCTTCATGCACCCATTATGGTGGCTTCAAAGTCCTTAAATCATCACTTGTAACTCCGTTCTTGTTCCCCTTGCACATGCCATCATCTCCATGCTTGTTCTTGCTCCAATGTTCATCCTTCTCCAAGCTAGGCCCTTCATTTGTAAGCAAAACAAATGTATCCAATTTAGACAACATCATATTCTCATGAACATTAGAATCATTACCAAGAAACAAAAGTACCTGATAATTCAATTGGCGTGCGCGAGCTCTAATAACTGGTCCAGTATAAGTAGCAGTAGGGGCTGTGGGTGTAACAATGGTATTGATGTCCTCATCAGCCGCCGCCGCTCTTCTTCGGTCGCTGCCGCCGCTACCCCCGTAGCCGCCGCAACCGCCCGTCCACCCCCTTCGTCTTCGTCCAGCACCAGCCCGTCGCCAGCGTCGTCGTCATCTACCCCGACCGCTTCATCTACTCCGACAAACGCGGGCGACATTGGCCCCACGCCGATTGGCGCCGCAACCGTCGTCGAGTCCTTCTCTGCTGGCCTCTCCGACTTCTTCGACATGGCGTACAGCTCGTGCAGGTCCCAGTCTACGCATGCCCGATGTTGGCAACACCGCCGCGTGCCTTCGTCCACGACGTGTCCCCGGGCCTGGCAAGCCTGGTGCGGTGCTTCGTCAACTTCGTCTTCGTCCGTCTACGCATGCCCGATGCTGGCAACACCGACGCGTGCCTTCGTCTATGATGTGTCCCCGGGGTTGGCAACCCGGCGCGACGCATCGTCAACATCATCTACTAACTCGGCGCCTCCTTGCGCCCGCGGTTCCACGGCGACTTACTCGACACCGGCCACCCCGACTCGACATCGACCAAGGCATTCTTCGCACAGCTACCTCGACCACGGCTACACCACCCACGCTCTCGGCTACATTGACAAATGGCGCAAAGGGATATCGCCTGGTTGAGCAACCTCGTCGGTTTTCACTCCAGCCACGACTTTCGCAATGCATCGACTGTTACGACTGTGGGAGGGTGTCCGTCGGCTTGCCTTCGGATTCTTCTCCAGTCTCACCGTCTGTCTCGCTACCGTTGTGACTGCGGGGAGATGTTGAGTATAAGGATTATTAAAAAGTATATGATAGACTAGGATTTGGTCCTGCCTTATCTTGTACTTCAAGTTGGCCTTTGTACTCCTACATATATGCCCACGAGGCTCAAGCAATATATCAACTATTCCACCAAAAATCTCTCTCCCTTCTAACAGTTTAGATCACGGACACTATGATCTAGATGATCTTTATGGAGGAAGTAGTTTTCATAGCATACTATAAATCATATGCTATTGTAGTTATATAAATAATTAAATTTGATCCAAATACGAAGGAGTCTAATAAACCCGGGCGGCGAAAGTATAATGTAAAAAAAGATGCGTATTCCTCTAAGTTTTTAGGGCTCCTTTGATTCAAAGGAATTCCGTGGGACTTTTGGAGGGTTGAAATCCTAAGGATTTTTTCCTACATTTGTCGTTTGATTCACAGGATTGAACCCTATAGAATTTTTTCCTATGAAATCAAGTGTACTACATTTCATTGAAAATCTAGTATCCACTTCAACCTCTTTTTTCAATTCCTTCGTTTCTCCTGTAGCATCAAACACTCTATGTTAATCTTATAGGATTCAAGTGGACATGCCACTCAAATCCTGTATTTCCTCTATTCCCATGTTTTGAAAATCCTGCAAATCAAAGAGGGCCTTAATCTGTAAAATAAAATTCGATTTGCCTCCCTGTCTGTGAGGCTACGAACCGTAGCCAGCCATGTGAACCTTTCTGGCATCCTTCACACGCAAATCGAAAGGGGCACTTTGCAAAGGCACCTAAACCTTCGTGGGATCCCGCCACGTGTCCCTGACCTTGCCGGCGTCGCACGCAACACCACAACACCGGAGATACCCAAAGCACAGATCTCTTCGCTCCCTCGCCACTCCAACTCTCTCCCCACCGACATGTGGGCCCATCAACGGGGCCCACGTGCCCGCGAACAGAATAAAAGGGCCCACTTCCTCGTCCCCTCCCAACCGCCGGCATTTTACACCTGTGCAGCGTGCCCCTTCCCGCCTCATGGCCAACGGCGACCGCCTCGCCGGAGCACCGTCCCCGCCGCCCATGCCGCCGCCGCTGCCCCCGTCACTAAGCAGGCCGTCGAATCGGCCACCGTCGGAGAACCACCTGGCAATCTCCGTGCCGCTGCTCTCGCTCGCCGGCTCCGCCGCCGATGCAGACGCGCCGCTGGCGCGGTGGCTCCGGCGGCTCGAGGCGTTCCTCGCGGTGTCGGGCCTCTCTGCCTCGACCCCTCTCGGCGTGGCCTTCGCGGCGTCCGCGCTGGCGGTGGTGGGCGTAGCGCTGCCCGCGGTGGCCGTGAGCCTCTCCCCGTGCCGTAAGCACGAGCGGGTCTGCGACGACTTCGAGGTTGAGATGTTCGAGGTGTGCGTCATGATGTCGCAGGCGGCGGCGGCGGCCGTCGCCGTCGCCTGCGTGTCGAGGAAGATGGCCATGTACGGCCTCCGCAAGTTCCTCTTCGTTGACCCGGATCTTGGCATGCGGATCCGCTTCCAGAAGGAGTACGTCGTCAGGATCCAGGTGCTGTCTCGCAGAGCTCAATTTTGGCGTATTCTTCCATGACTTGCGGACGAATGCCTAGTAACTTTTCCATATGGCCCGTTGATTGGGGGGATTTTTGTGTGAGCTTTGGTATATCCTGATTTAGCTGTGAAATGAGGCAAGGAACTTGTCTGGATTCATCTTCAAAGCAAGCAGCCGGATGAATTTCTTGTTATACTGACTAGTAGATGAACAAATGCAACCGTGCTCCGCGCCATTTTGTCGAAACATAGTGCAACTGAATGATTAATTAAGTGAAATCAGGGAGCATATGATTGCTTTGCGTTGTGCGTGGATTTAGGAGGAAACAATACATTGGAAGTCTTGAGACTGTGGATGTAAGATGGTTCTTAGATTCAGGAGGTTTCCTTGTTTCAGCCCATCTGAAAGACTGAAACCTCCTGTCTGGATACTTTTTTTAATATATATTTCTGCCGCCCTGGATTCATGGGCCTGTCCTTACTTGAGGGCGGGTCGAGGTGATCGATTCTCGGTTATATATGTTGTATATGCATGTCAGCATGTGCCTGCTTGTGTCCGCATGTGAGCGGGGCCATGGGTGTGTACTAGCAGGTTTGTGTTTGTGCCAAATGTTTGTTCGATTAGTCTCTACTAGTCATAGGTTTAGTTATTTCTATTGGAAATTTGAATTACGAAATTCCGTGACTAGGACTGGAAACATTATTCATTCATGACTCATAATGTGTATGAGTTTTGTCATTCGATTTTTGTGTTGACACGTGCTGCGACCCCAATGACAGGACTTCTTCCGAACACTTATGTGGTGGATATTGCCATGCCTTGCTGTGAAGGTCACCCGAGAGATGTTCCGCTTTTCCCACATGTTCCATCAGTCAATTTGGAGGTCATGCATTGTGCTATTTGCTTCCATCATGTCATGGATGTATTTGACGACAATTGTGTTGTCTTCCTGCATGCTTTTCAACTTGGTTTGCAATCTACAAGTTATACACTTTGATGATTACGGCAAAGTTCTAGAGCAAGACGCGGATCCTCTAGTCTATCTGAAAGAGCACCTGCAACTCCGCCATAATCTCTCCAAAATCAGTCACAGGTTCCGCATGTTCCTTTTGCTGCTCTTCTTTTCTGTTACAGCAAGCCAGTTCGCCATTCTTTACAAGACAACAGCATACAACGGGCCAATCAATTTCACTAATGGTGGTGATATAGCTGTGAGTATCATGTGTTTGTTTATTCCAAAAACATCATAAACTTCGCCTTCTGCGTATGGCGTAAAAAATATCAGATCATAAACATATTTATTTTCTGCTGCAGGTATCTTCAGTTGTTCAAGTTGTAGGCCTTGTCCTTTGTTTACACGGAGCTGCTAAAATTTCTCACAGAGCTCAAAACATTGCCGCAATAGCTAGTCGATGGCATGCTTTAGCGACATGCTCTAGTGATTCTACATATGTAAGCACCCCGAATGATTCTGGGAACCTAGTGCCCTTTCCAGCACATATGTTTTTGAGAGATTGCTCGGAAAGTGACTTGGAGTCTATGGAAAGTGGCTCAATGCAAGGCAATTCTCATAACACAGCTCAACTGGCATCTTACATGTCTTCATACCACAAGAGAGAATCGCTTGGTTAGTAAGCTAATGCTTCGTTTAAATTTTGCATTGACAAACCTTACTTTAAAGCTTCCTGCAAGTTGTGTTGCTAAATCTTTATTATATTGTTTATGCTTGCAGTGCATGCACAATTATTTTGTTTTGTTTCCTACCGTGCTCATGCATTTTATTCTACTCTGGTGCACTGCAGTGCTCTATCTGCTAACCAACCCTGGGGGCATCACGCTATACGGTTGGATTGTCGACCGGACATTCCTCAACACGATCCTGATGCTCGAGCTAACCCTTGTGCTGTTCGTGCTCAGCAAGACCATTGTGATCCCAGCGAAAACGCTAGTCAACAGTTACATGAGTTTCCCGTGAATGGAGTTTGGCGCAAGCTTTAACATTCCGATTTTGGTTTGAAGAGCGTGACACCCAGACACGTAGTAGGGTTTGTACACCACATTGGCGAAGACTGGTGCCGACATCGGCAAAGTTGATCCTTGAAGACTAAAATGAACCCGGATCTGAGAAGCAAGGTTGGTGTTTCTTGATGTCCCTGTTTGGAGGTTGATCTTTGGGGGCAATGTCTCTTGAACGCAAGATTCTGGCTAACGCGAAGCATGCAATTGTTAGACATAGGTCCCCTTTGATCACTGGACTGTATGCAGGATGTTGGGCTCGGTTGTGTTGTGTACAGTTTTTGGACCAAAGCCAGCATCATATGGCTGTGCATATGTACATGTGCTCTTGTATTACCACTTGATATCTACGAGGATGAAGTTTTGTCAATGCTACTGGATTGTGTTGCTGCAGACTTTTCTTGGCGTAAAGTGGAAAACAATCGAACAAATAATCTACTCGTATATGTTATTGAAGCAAACTTTAGGGGCACCGGTCGCTCTGAAAGCACATGAATTCCCACGTTAGTGACAAGAAAAGGGGATTGATGAAACATTTATGCCTACAGATATACTTCTTCTTTTTTGGCATCATCGATCAGAGATTCCAAAGGCGCACAATGTTTCAGCAGAGCACGCAGAACGACAGGCATCATGGAAATTAAACAAGATAACCAGCGAACATTAGAACATTTCTCAAAAGGCACCACCTAACGTAGCATCTTACTACAGGCAGAATATCAGAGAGGTCATTAAAAATCACAAGTTGGCAGGCAGCATCGAGAGTTCGAAATCAGCAAGAGATCACGACCCTAAGATGTAGCTCCCCAGGTTTTGGATTTCAGGCTCTTGTGCTTCAGTACTGGCCATCCGTTCTACCCCAGCTCTTAGCTAATGTTGGATCCATCTGAATAGCCACCATTCACAACATCCAAAGGTTATCCAGGACAGATTAACCTAAAGAAGAAGTCAACAAAACTGTCTGTCATGTGTGTTAGGTTGGCACTTGATTTAGATAGATCATTTAATACTTGCTGAAGTAGAACAGAGAAATTGAATATTAACATCAGTAGCAACCCGCTTTGCTGGCAACTTCGAAACAGAATTTCTTACCAGCAAAAGGCTAGAGGCTGGAGAGATCCTTCGTTTTTTTCCTAGTAGACATTCTGTGCAACGAACCATTATTATCAGTAGCCATCTTCCCCCTTTTCCTCTTTTGCTTCCTGCTGGAGAGGGTGCAGTTCTTCTTCAATTCCAAAACCCCGATTGGCTTGTCAAGGACATCCTCACTTGATTTCCCTTTGCATATCATACCAATCACAGCCCTAGATGGTGTGGGGAGATCACATTCATCTTTTTCGTCCAGTGAAGTCAAGGATGCACTCCCGGGGTTTTTCAGCCAATCCATGATAGGGTTTTCTTTATCATATAGTGCAACATCCATCATCAATCTGCAAAGATCGAGCTCTTTTTTCCCCTTGCCATCCTTTTCTTCCTTATCTGTTTTAGATTGTTCGAACCGCAGGTTAAGATTGTATCGGACACAGACCAACTTGTGAAGCTTTTCAGAAGCAAGCTGATTTGTCGCTTGTGCATGCATCAATGCATATGTGCTCCAGTTTCGCTCACACCTGCTAGAGGACATACATCGGGATACAATTCGAGTCGCATAGCCCTGAAGGAGTTTTACTTCTCCTCCAAAATACGACCACCAAGAAGCTGGGTCCAATGTGCTAGCACAACGCCGAGCAATATCTTTGTCAAACCTCCCGCTAGAAGAACGGAAAGTTTCGAACTGGTCCAGTGCCGCCACTGCATTTGCAGGTGAGTCTGCAACCTTCTCAATTGCCATCGTGAATGCTTGCATGTAATCTGCATTGCTTGCAAGATCATGCTTGTAGTGGGCGTCAGGATCAAGCACACCAGCTGTAGAAGAAAGAGAGTTAGATAAATTCACAATGGATGAAAGCCATTAAAAATAAGACACACAGCAACTTAGTCCTTACCTGCAATCATAAGAGTGCCATCATATATATCTGCAACCCTCCTGTCAACCACATCCATGAAATCATTCAAATCTTCTGACCCCTCCTGGAAAAGAGATTGTAATTCATCCCTAGCAGCAATCATTCTAGGCATAAATCCAGAAATTGACCTAGTCTTAGGTGAATCTGCGTGCTGAAGTATGGCATAAAGTGGTCGGATTCTATCTAGTACCCATTTGACATCTTCCCGTCGGATTCTATCTAGTACCCATTTGACATCTTCCCACCAGGAGCAGCTTGTCAAGCAGTCATACGTGTAATCATAATCTGCCTCCCTACTCCAAGGGCCATCTTCCCACTCATTCGAGATCATCCACTGCCTGAGCTTGTCTTTATTATCCCAGTAACTTTGTAGGCACATAAAGTCAGTTCCGAACCTTGCGGCATTGGGTGGGATCAACTCTCCACCAATCTTGGTTTTCATTTGAGCGTGCAGAGGTTCAGAATAACTGTAGAAAAACCTACATATCTGCTTGGCACTGGAGAGCACCGCATCAACCTTGGGGATATTTCCAATTTCCATCAGCATGAGATTAACAGTATGAGCTGCACATGGCTGCCAAACAATGTGCGGATACTCCTTGATGAGTTGCCCGCACGCTTCCTTGAAGTTTGATTCATTCTGTGTCACAATTTGAACTACGAAGCCTTGCCCAATCTCCTCCACAACCACCTTCCTAATCAATTCATAGAGATATGGAATACTCTGCATGCTTCCGGTAGCATCAACAGACTTGTGAAAGTACATGCGCCTATTGCAGGAGATCATGAAGTTTACGATGGTTGTCCCAGTAGGTCCTATCCATGAGTCACACATCACAGTAACACCATACAGATCCCACCAACCTTTCCATTCGGCCACACGCTCCATCAATTCGTCATACTCGGACTGCAGGCATGGCCCATCAATTTCTGAACCTGTAGGAACGTGCTGAACCACCGGACCAAGTTGTTGCGTCAATCTCATGGCCTCTTGGAAATGCGGGCAGTCGGCTTTCTCCCCAGGAATCCCATTGGCATGGAAAAACTTGGCCCAAGCCTGCCCAAGCTCCTTAGCTGAATCCTTTTGGAGAACCCCCTGGAGCCGAGGTGGGGCGGGTGCCCTGCGGCAGGAAAGGTCTGAATATATGCTTAAATCAGTAGTCACTCTCTGTCTACGACTTGGTGCAGACTTGTTCTTTCCACCAGCAACAGTACGACCTGCAATCGGTGTAGGTAAAATTTTCTTAGACCGCCGTATTCCACCATAGCAACAATCTGTTAGGGGGAAGAGGGGTATATCCCATCATATGAACATCCTATCGGAGACAGGAGGCATGTTGCATCAAAGATAATGTTCTTGGAGAAACATTCCACATTCCACCACAGATCAGGAACCATACAAGTGGTACGTATCACAACCTAGTACATTTCGTAGACTGAACCAAACAATGCGGCGATCTACAAGTAGGAGTAGGGAGGAAAGCAAAAGGTGTTGGCACTGCCGCAACCCTAACGCCGTTTGAACCCCGACCCAACAACAGATGGATGAGCTCTACAGATCGTTCGGAGACGAGTTCGAGTAGAAGGCTGTTGATTATCAGTACCTGAGCGCAATGCCGCGATGCCGGGGGCGCAGCTGCTGCTGCTGCTGTTGCTCCCGTCATCAGAGCCCGACTCCATGCGGCGATTGGAGCTCTGGTCTGGTTTTGGGGAAGACGAAGAAGCCGCCGCCGGATTGTTGGGGGATGTTCTGTTTCTGAGGGTATTATTGGGCCGTTAGGGGATGTTGGGGGCAGGAGCAAGCAGCAATAATACGGCCCAAGTGAATCTCCAACCCCTTGTCTCCCGGATTTCCTATTTGACGCATTCTGCGTCGAATTGAGGCGAGCGACGCGAAGAGCTCTGTAGGCCGAGGCCCATTTAGCTGATAGCATAGCGCGGGCGGGAGGTTTTCTCCCGGTTTTGGGAACCTTCCAGAAGGTTCCCCGAACCGGTTTTTTTTCCTGTTGTTTTTCGAAACTAGTTTTCTTTTTGGTTTTTCCTTTCTGTTTCTTTTTTATTTTCTTTTTTATCTTTTATCTTTCTGTCTTGTTTCTTCTTTTTTATTTCCTTTCCTTTTTCTGTTTCTTTTTCAAAAATTTGCAAATTTAAAAAAATTCGAAATTCAAATTTGTTCTTAAATTTTTTTTTGAACATCAGTACAGACACAAGCGCTCATATACACACGCATACACTCACCCCTATGAACGCACACACGCACACCCTACCCCTATGAGCACCTTCGAAAAACTGAGCCGGCATATCATCTTGAAATTTACGAAGTCGCCGTAGGCACCTCGTCGTCGACGGGAACGTCTCCTCCCACTGAATGCGCATTGCCGGAAATCCTGAAATAAATCCAGAAATAATGCGAGCACCAGGATTTGAACCCTGGTGGGTTGGGGATACCACTGTCCACCTAACCATCTCAACCCTGGTGTTCTTAAATTTTAAAATATGTTTCGGTATTTAAAAAAATGTTCACAAATTTGAACAAAATATTCGTGTTGTCATAAATGTTCCCAATTTTTTTGCGTTTTCAAAATGTTCGTAGAGTTGAAAATGTGCGTGTTTTCAAAAAATGTTCGTAAATTTCAGAAACAACTCACGTTTTTCAAGATAATGTTCACATTTGAAAAAAGGTTCGCCTTTATGAAAAATGTCCGCGCTTTCAAAACAATGTTCGCGCTTTCAAAACAATGTTCGTCTTTCTGAAAAATATTTGCACTTTCAAAATAGGTTCGTCTTTCCAAAAAATATTCGCACAATCAAAACCATGTTTGCAATTTTAAAAATGTTCACAAATTTGGACAAAGATGTTCACACAAACCAAAAAATGTCCAAATTTTTCAAAAAAGTTCGTTTCTTCAGAAAACCATTCATTTTTTGAAATGTTTCATTTTTTTCAAATGAAGATGGACCTGGACGGAGTGGCTAGCATCTCCCGTCCACCTCCATCTCGTGGTAAGTTGTAGGGGCGTGTCCTACTTGGCTATTCGAGTGTTTTTTTTTCTTCTTCATTTCTTTTGGTTTTTTTTCAGAAGACCATTTTTTTAGGTTATTCCTTGCATTTTGTTTCTTTGTTTTTTTATTTTCATGTTTCTTTTGTTTATTTTACCTTTCCTTTAGTTTACTTTGTTATTTTGAATATTACTTTATATTTGTTCTACATGCTAACAACATTTTTCCAATACAAATTAAACATATTTTAATACATGATTAACATTTTTCTATAATATTATTAACATTTTTTAAATACAATATTAATATTTTTTTAATACATGATCAACATTTTTTATATATTTTAAACATATTTTTAAATGCTTGATACAGTTTCAAATTAAAAGATTAACAGTTTTCTCAATAAATGTACGACATTTTTTCTTTATACGCACAACGTTTTTAACTACAGATGGGCCGGCCCATTTTAATTTGTCTGAAGGTTTCCGTCCGTCCGTATAGTAATACGCCGGCCCATTTTCAGCGCTCATACGAACGCTGATTGTGTGTTCGCTGCGTTTTTTTTTCGTTCTCTTATTTTCTTCAGTTTCCTTCGTTTTCTCATCTAATTTATTCGTTTCTTTATTGATTTTAACTTGTTTTTTCTTATTTATTTTTTCTTTGTTTTTTATTTTAACTGGTATTTCTTCTCTTTCTTATTTTCTCTGTTTTTTTCTTGGTTTCGATTTTTCTTTGTTTCTTTCTCGGTTTATTATTTTCATTCTTTTGCACTGCTTTTCTTCAAGGTTTTTTATATCATTTTATTTGTTTCTTTTTCCATTTTATTATTTTGATTAATTTTTCTTCTTTTCTTTCTTTGATTACCTATTATCTTTTGTCCCCTTTTGTATAGAACATGAACATTTTTATACACATTTAACAATTCTCCGTTGAACTTTTTTTAGTTACATAATTTATTAAATTTAAAGCATATACCTTTATATCAACTTTTTTTTTATATTTACAGTGTTTACACATCAGGAGCATTTTTATGCATATCTTTAACATTTTTTAAATACATGATTAATATTTTCTAAACATATTGGTTTATGTCTATTTTTTGCATACACATTGTATATTTTTTATACATACATTTAACATTTATAAAATACATGATTAGCAGTTTTAAGAATATATTTGTAGACTACTTTTTTGCTTAAACAATTGTACATTTTTACCATTTGGCATGAATTGTGAGCTATATCGGAAACAATGAACAATTTTTTTATTTCTTGTATACATCATTGGCATTTTTATAATGTTTAATATTTTTCCAATACGTGAGTAACATTTTTCATATATATGTTTTGATGTCTACTTTATTTCTACACACATTGTAAATATTTTATATACATTTGGAACATTTTTTATGCAAATTTAACTTTTTAAAATTCATGACTAACATTTTTTTCATATATATGTTGATGTCTACTTATTTTCATACACACTGTACAATTTTCGTATAGATTAGAAACATTTTTCTCTATATGTTTACATCTTTTAATTGTGTGATTAACAATTTTCAATCTATGTGTTAAGTGATTTTTATAATTAATATATTTAGAATAAGAATAAGTTGGCTCCCCACAAGGATGTGAATGTGGATCATGTGCTCCTCAATTCACACTTGTACCAAGGAGTTTTCCGGTCATTTGTTGACATGGAGATCATTCCATTTCTAGTATTTAATCATCCAGAGCTTGTGTGTTGTGCTATGCCATCATTTGGTTTGGGCATGCCGATGCCAGAACTATGTATTGGATTCGCTTTTGGTCCCATCATTGGTTACAACTTACAACTTCTTCAGGCATCCTAATAAGGACCATGGTCGCGTTAGGGAGCCAGATTTCTCACAAACCAGGGACTTCCTTCACCGCAGGTTTGATATGTGAAACGTATCTATTTTTATGAACACTTTTGCTATGTTTCTATCCTTCAACTTGTATATTTTTATAAAAACTAACCGGCCCGACATTGTTTTCAAGAGTATATGCAATGATATGTTTGCCATGTAGGAAAAGTCCCCTAAGAAAAACCACATAGCCAATAGGGACAGGCAAGTGGGTGCCCACAGCCCCCACGCGGCATAAATCCTAGCTGTAGGAGGGGTACATGGGGCCCACATGCATCACATCCTGTCCTTCCTTCGCTAATAAGGACCTCCTCGCCCCGAAACATCCAGATGGGTTTTACCTGATTGTTCTGCAAGATGGAGCCACCGCCATCTCTTATCTTCTACTGGAGGGCTTTTTTAGAGACTAGTCTGGCCTTGGAAGAGGGGGATTCTTTGTCATCAACACCACCAACTCCTTTTCCATCATAATTCCATGATCTCTCCACTCATGTGTGGGTAATTTCTCTATAGTCTCATGAGGTGGATGATAATTTAATGAAATCACATGTGTTTGTGCGTGCTTTCATAGGGGTGAATATATGTGCGAATGTATGAGCGTCTATGTTGTACTATGTTAAAAAAAGTAACTAGCTACAAAGGTTGGTAATAAATGACATTTTTTTAGAGTACACCTAGGCGTACCATATTTTTATAGAAGGTGAAAATCTTGTACTGGGAACAAACTGCGAACAATAAGTGTAGCAAGAACTCCACACCCCACCGCAACGCAAAAGGGCCTGTTCTAGACCAATCATCTAGCCCCATCACGCCGATCTCCTAGAAGCGCAACAACTCCAAACGGAATCTCCTTACCAACACACTACCCACCCTTGGATGCCTAAGAGGAGACAGTGAGTGGATAATAGGACTCAGCCGGTCCTCAAAAATCCATCGTCTTGGATTCGCCGGCGGTTGCGTACATAGCACCACGAAGATCAACCCGAACAACAACAAGCATCGGAGAACCACCAACAAAATGCAAGCCAAGTCTCAACCTGCGATGCTCTCAGCAGAGTAACGACGACAGCGCCGCCATAGCCGGTCCTGTAATGGACCAAGGCTTTCGCCTGGAGACCACAACACGATCAAGGAGGGGAGATGCTCATACACCTCGGTGACATCTCAAAGGAGGGAAACAACACCCACGGGGGTCATCAGCGCCAGCTCCGACCGAAGACGAGCAGGATTTTTCATCTGAACCATCGCACACGTCCCACCTTGCTACTTGTAAACTGCGTTGGAATTTCCCCTGAAGAGGAGGGGTGAAGCAGTACAGTAGAGATAAGTATTTCCCTCAGTGAGAACCAAGGTTATTGAACCAATAGGAGAACCAAGCAAATTTCCGTCTTCAGTACCTACTCACACAAAAGCAAATACTTGCACCCAACACGGGCAAGAGGGTTGTCAATCCCTTTGAACTCGTTATTTGCAAGGATTAATACTGACAGTGATAGATAGATAAGAAGAAAAGTAAAATAAAAAGTATAAAATTACGACAATGTATTTTTGGTTTTAATAATATGATAAAAGTAGACCCGGGGGGCATAGTTTTCACTAGAGGCTTCCCTCTCGAACACGTAGCATACGATGGGTAAACAAATTACTATTGGGCAATTGATAGGAAAGCGCATAATTATGACGTATTCATGGCAATGATCATGTATATAGGCATCACGTCCGTGACAAATAGACCGGCTCCTGCCTACATCTACTACTATTACTCCACCAATCGACTGCTATCCAGCAT